TTTTTTTTAAATTTATTTTTTAGTTTTCGGTGGACACAACATCTTATTTTATTTTTATGTGGTGCTGAGGATGGAACCCAGCGCCCTGCGCGTTACCTCTTGAGCCACATCCCCAGCCCTGGCTTCTTAGTTTCTTGTCCTTCTCTCCTCTTGTGATCTTGTCCTTCATCCTACCTTAGCTGGTCATTCACACTTTTATCATTATCAGTGACTGCAGTCTCGCCATAATCTCAGTTGAGCATTCCCAACTCTTGACCTCAGCCTTGAACTTCTCCAGCTCCCTGCTTCTGGTACCATTACTACAGCAATCTTTCGACCTTTATGATTCCGAAAGCCACAGATTTCACCACCTGTTATTGTCTTTGTCTTCTCCAGTGATCTTTCTTCCTTTATACCCACCTTAGAGTCCATGTCAAAATCCAGTTCTACTTGAGTGCATCTCTCTCTAAACCCAACTTCCCTTGGCTCTATGTTGCTGGAACAACACCAACTGGTTGCACCCTGAGTTCAAGACTAGTTACCTCCAGGGGCCACTCATATTGCTACCCATCCACGCATATTTTTTTGTCCATTCAGTCTTGTGTATTTCTTCCTTCAAATGGCTTTTCCCATCCTTCCTTATTAATAATCTAGTTTCTTATTTTATTGAAAAATATAAGTAACTGCCACTATAGAGTGCTTGGGCACCCCTCACCCCTGACTCTGTCCATGTGCTGGCATCAGTGCCCTTATGCTCCTTGACTCCTGGACTTTGAATGAATATCAGGCACCTGAACCCCTTCCTCTGCAGTCTCCTTCTCAAAGATATGGTTCCTGTCATTATTACTTCTCTCCATTTCAGTAATTTTCTCAAATTCATCTGTTTCCCCTTGTCTACACATCATTCCCATTAGTATGCAAATATGTTATTTCTTCCATTCTATACTGTTCCCTTCAGCTGGTGACTGCTGCCCTTCTCTTCTTTATAGCAGAATTTCTCCATGTACTTGTTACTACTCATTTTCTTCCATTTTTCATTTGAATTTACTATAGTTAAGCTTTCTGTCATCAGTGATAAAATTCTCAGCCCTCATCTCACTGTCTAATAGTGCATGACAAAAGTTGATCACTGGTCACTTTCTTCAGTGGAAATGCTTTCTTCATTTGGCCCCTAGGCCAGCATTTTTCTAGTTTTCCTCCTAACTCTTTGGCCTGATTATCCATCACCTGCTGTTCTTTTAATATTGGAGCATCCACAACCACTCTTGTGTCCTTCATTTTAATTTACTAAGTAATTTTATCCTATCCCATTCATTATGCTGGAGGCTTCTACCTCGTATCCAGCAGTCTGACAGTTCTACCTTCCTTCTGAAGGCGTCTCACAGTAAATGTCTCCCAAACTGAACTCTCCACTCAGTTCACTCAGGCCAAAAGCCTTTGAATCATCCTGAGCATTTCTCTGACTCACAGTCTACATGAATTTTATCAGCACATCTTTTTGACTTTGTTTTTAGAATATATCCAGTCTCACCCCTTCTTTTTCCACCTTCTCTGTTATCTTGCGTCATCATCTCTGCTGGGAATATCACACTATCCTGTAATCAACCTTGCTGTGCCCTCCCTTGCTGTTGACAGGCTATTCACAGAATACCTGTTGAAATGGGACTCAGAGGACAGCAGGGCTTTGCTGTATGACTTCCTGTTTCCCTCCCTCACCTGCTTTCTGACTCACTGGTTCTCCTCAGTGAAAGTAAACACTGTGGTCCACAGGCCCTGCTGATCCGGCTGCCTCTTCTTCTCATCTTCATTACTCTTGAGTTTGTGTCTTGCCAGGGTTTCTCATACCCACTTGCTCTCTGGTGTGCTAACCTTGATTTTATCAAAGTCTTTGTTCTTGCTGATCACTCTGCCCAGACATCTGTTCCCTTGAATATACGTATGGTACACTCCTCATTTTATTTTATTTTTCAATTCTTTTCTTAAATGTTGCCTTTCAGAGGCCTTCCTGATTTCCATCTCCCTATTTGAGATCACAGTAGTCCCACCCTGCACCACTCTCTGACTTGCTTTTCTCCATAGCATTTACCACCATAAATTATTTTACTTCTTTATTTTGTTTTTATCATCTGTTTCCCTTAATTAGAATATGAACTTCATGAAGATAAAAATTGTTTCATTTTTCTTACTGCTGTTTTCCTTAACATGCAGAAAAAAGTGTTTGTATGTTAAATACTTTATAAACATTTGTCGAGGGAGTGTCTGAATTATTTTTGTCTTTTCAACATCATGATTCTTCTGTTACATGTAAGGAGCAGAGTCTTAGGGAATGTTAGTCATTTGTGCAGATAACACCTAAATCCTTGTCTGCCTTGTCTCATAGTGTAATCACTGTATTAATTCATCTACCATCTAGTCTGTGCATGAACTTTACATTGTGTTAATTGCATTATGAGAGAGGAAGTTATTAATATTGTGCACCTTATTAGTATTTCTACCCTCCATCAATATTTGGGAGAAAACAAAAACAGATTTTTCACATTGAAACACACTTCCTTTTATATGCTGCAAACAAGTTGGAGATATTTGTTGGGCTGCTTTCTTTGCAGCAAAAGAGTTCTGAGAAATCTCCTATTTTTTCTGTCTTCTAGTGGCTATATTTTCTTACAAAGATCCAAAATTCCTGCATCCTGTGGGTTTGAAGCATCAAGGAATATATAAGAATGCTCCTTGTTTGGCTAAGGTGGATCAGGTGTTCCAGGAATGTGGATTCTGCTGCTGGCTACTAGAATTTTATGTTCATTTCTACCACTGAATTGTTCTTAGTTTAAAGGAATCATAGGAATCATAGGAATTCAAAAATTATCAAGCTACTTGCTGTCAAATGGGATTGTGAGGAATTGAGGTCACACTTTCAGAAGATAGTCATAGATCATGATGAGTATGAATCATGCTTTTAAGTTTTTGCAGCTGCTTTTAGAGTTTCAAACTACAAGATGTGTCTAGTTGGCATTTCCCACACCTGCCCTATTTGTGTTTTATATTTAAAGAAAATGGTTGAGCTAAAAGTGAATTCTATCTACTAAGAAGAACTGATGGCCCTGGGTTATAGAAATGAAGTATGACTATTAGATCTGTCACAAAACATTTGTCTACTTGGCCAGATTGTGGCCATTGTTTGCATCTACTCAGTCCCCCAAATAGAATTTGATGTGAAGTGAATTTGTCATGAAATGCCAGCAGTATCTGAGAGGTAGTAAAATTTTAAATGACAATTGAGTGGTATGTTAATAAAGTTGTACCTGTGGGTTTGATGAGAAGCCAGAGGGGTATATCGAACTCCTCTAATTTAGTCTTACACTCATTCTGTCACCGCTTCATTGGGCACAGATAAAATTTCTGCTCAGCTCTTTCCGCTTACAGAGGTTATTTTCTGTTGGATTTTTTGGAGGGTCCTGGAGGTATAGGGGTCATTGAGTGTTTGAGCTGTTTGTGTACAGTTTGGGGCACCACCACATTTGCCTTCTTTAAGGGCTTTACATCTTCCATTTCCAGCCACTGGCAGCCTCAGGCAGGGTTCTCCGACCCCAATTAAGATTGAGTCTGGGGCTGGGGTTGTAGCTTGGTGGCAGAGCACTTGTTTCACATGCATGAAGCACTGGGTACAATCCTCAGCGCCACATAAAAATAAATAAAGGTATTGTGTCCATTTACAACTAAAAAAATATTTAAAAAATAAAAAAAAAGATTGAGTCTGTTTGTTTGACTTCTAGCTGTCTCCATTTTGCCTAGGATTTATAATCATTCAGTGCCAGAGGTTTAGTCTGAAAGAGGCAACTCTGCCATTGTCTTTAGAGCTTCAATATGTTGAGGTATATATTTACCATAAGGATTTTTTTTTTTTTTGAGAGCAAAGTAACAATTTCATTTTGAAACAGGAAGCATAGCTTCCACAGGGACAGGTCCTAAGAGAGAGTTGACTAGGAATTTTGTATTTTGGTACCAGGAATTGAACTCAGGGGCACTTGACCACTGAGCCACATCCCCAGCCCTATTTTGTATTTTCTTTAGAAACAGGGTCTCACTGAGTTGCTTAGCTGTGCACTTTTGCTGAGTCTGGCTTTGAACTCTTGATCCTCCTGCCTTAGCCTCCCAAGCTGCTGGGATTATAGGCATGCACCACTATCCCTGGTATGCCCACGATTTTAAATTTTCTTTTGTTAATTATTGCTTAATTCCACCATGGTCAGAGAATATACCTTGTATGATTTTAATTCTTTAAAAGCTAATAAAATAGGATTTATAGCTTAGTATATGGACAGTTAATGTAAGTGGCCTCTGTTTACTTTAAAAGGGTTTGTATTCCTAGCTGTTGGATGTAATGTCCTGTGTATGTCAGTTATAATCATGTCCATATCTTGTATACTTTTAAACCTTTTTCTTGGTATGCTTTCTATGTCAGTTATTAGAATGGGTATGTTAAATATCTCCCTATTATATTGTGACTTTGCCCATTTCTCCTTTTTGTTGTGTTGATTTTCCCCATTTATTTGGAGTCTATTGTCAGATACATTTTGGTTTAGGATTGTTGTGTCTTTCTTGTGAATCAAACCCTTCAACTATATAAACTTTGCCTCTTAATTTTGGTAATGCCTTTCACCCTGAGGTTGGCTTTATCTGCTATTAACAGTGACATCAGCTTACTTTTGATTATGTTTTTCATTGTGTATTTTTTCCTTCTTTTTGTTTAAAATTTGTCTTTATGTTTTAAATGACTGGGTTTTGCTTTATTTTATTCCATCGTGACAGTGTTTCAATGGAAACATTTGATTACTTACAGTTAATATAATTGCTGATTACATTTAAATCAATCCCCGTCTATTTATTATCTGTTTCCTCTATGTCTCCTGTAGTTCTCCATTTTGCAATTATTAACTTACTGAATTTTTAGATGTGTTATGCATTACATTACTCTCATGTATCATGTTGTCTACTTTTTTTCTCCCTTTTTTTTTTTTTTAAAGGAAAAGACAGAGTTTTTAATACTCCATTGTGTGAACAAGGAATTGTTGGTTTTGGGATTGGACTTGCAGTCACTGGTGCTACTGCTATTGCTGAAATTCAGTTTGCAGATTACATTTTCCCTGCTTTTGATCAGGTAAGTGCTTCATATTTTATTGTAAATGAGCATTCATGAGGTTGCTAAATCCACAAAGTATTGCATCCATCTTCCCATTGTCCATCTTAGCACATTTTGTTAACCCTTACTTAGTGTTTTACAGTTATAACTTTCTAATGGGAATATAATCAGAGTTCTAATAGATGATTTTAGAAGATGGACTGGGAAGGAAGGACTCATTGCAACATGTGCCTTCTCTCCTTCTTCCCAGATTGTTAATGAAGCTGCCAAGTACCGCTATCGCTCTGGGGATCTTTTCAACTGTGGAAGCCTCACCATCCGGGCCCCTTGGGGCTGTGTTGGCCATGGGGCTCTATATCATTCTCAGAGTCCTGAAGCTTTTTTTGCCCATTGCCCAGGAATCAAGGTATACTCATTTATTTACTTGATTAGATCCTCATTTGATATTTCCATTTGGTTGATTCTGTTAATATTAACTAATGTGTTCATCTGGGGACAAACAGGATTTTGGAATTTATGTGAATTTAACTGTTAAGTAAGATATGCTGGAATGGTGGTGCATATTACCTGTAATCCAAGCTGAGGGAAGGGGACTGCATGTTCAGGAGGCTGAGGCAGGGGAATTGCATGTTTGAGGCCAGCCTTAGCAACTTAATAAGACCCTGTCTCAAAATAAAAAATAAAAAGGGCTGGGGATGTGGCTCAGTGATAGAACATCCTTGGGGTTAGTCCCCAGTACTGCAAACAAACACGGCCCCCTACTCCCTGTGCGCCACCTCCCCCACCCCCAAATCAGGGAGGCTGGTATTTCTTTTAAATTCAATGCCCAGTTTAACAGATTGTTCTTTTTGAAGTAATACTGGCTTGACATTGGCAATCATTGACATCATAGATTTCAAAGAATATAACTGAGAACATCATTGGTTTGTCTTACTCCTCTTTCAAAGCCTTATGTTTCTCTCTAGCGGGTTTTTCTCACTTAACTGCTTCTGAGATGATTTAAATAAGTCTGCCATTTAGTTTACATTTACCTTGAAGTCAGAGGGATATGGAACTTGCTATTAGTTCATAGATGGGGAGAAGGTTCTTACTTTCCTAATCTAGAGTAAGGTAATACTGTCTTAAACAATTAACTTGGAAATATCTTACTGTTATGATTGGCCTTCATAGGAGCTTAGTTTTTTGATAATAAAATTATTTTGAGTATTTTATGTCAATATTTTGTTCTATCATCTTTTCTATTTCTTATTTACTGAACATCTTTCCAGGGAATCATAGAAACTCACAGATATCTCAATATGGAGATGTTTGTTCTTGATGACATAGTTTGGTTGTGAACATGTGTTTTATTCTAGTTTGTTTTTTTCCATAGACAAAAGCTATGAGATTTTTCCTATCTGAGTAGTGGCTCTGTGCTGGCTCAGTATGAGCTAGAAGTTGTAGGCTAGGACAACTGTTCCATTAGAGACAACAGCTATTTTTTGTTTGAGCTGAACATTTTTAACATTACTCGGTGTTTTAAAGAGCAGACCTTTTCTCAGTTCCCTAACTCTTCTTTCCCTGTCCTCTTTCTTTCTTCTTTCTTCTGCTTTCTTTCTATGTTTCCCACATCAAATGAAAATATACATATAATAAAAAAGGTTAAAAGTAAATATATGAGAAAGCAGAAAAAGAGAATCTGAAAAGTAGGAATATAAAATAAACATACTATGTGATGTGGTTACTTTGTGTTCAGAAGCCTGTTTACAGAAAATGAACTAGATTTGTGCTGCTATTTTATTTTTTAAATAAAATTCCTTCAATAAAAAGGGCATAAAAATGACCTTGAAAGCCCATGTAGTTTGCTCAATGAATCTTATTTGAATCTCTGTGATAAAGTCAGGCTTATTTTTAAAAATAATTCTTCCCATGTAATCCTTGTCGTCATACAATTATTTTAGAGTCACTAAGAAGTTTGTGATTTCTGGCAACACTGTATAGAAGTTAAGACCTCGGGCTGTAGCCCCCATCCTTGGGTGAGAATCCTGGTCTGGCAAGCCGTCTGACCTTGGGCAAGCTTCTCCTTGTCTCTTTACACCTCACTCTCTATTTCTATCGTGAGAAAAGTAATACTAGCTTCCTCATGAGGGTGCTGTGAATATGAGATGAGTTAATCCACACAGTGCTTGGCAGATTAGCACCTGCCCTTTCCTGTGGCCATCATCTTCTTCATCATCACCCTGGTTTTCAAGGACTTGGAGCCATTTCCTGTCACCTGGAAGCATGAACACATTGCTTTTTACTTTGCCAAAACTGGGCATAATGTGCCTGGATCATAAAATTCAGTGGTTACTTTTCCATTCATGAGGTGAAGACTGAAGTTTTCATGGGGAGGAAGGAAATTTTGGTGTGTTAAAGTTGAGAAGATAAAGAATCAATTTTTATTTTTAGTAAAGTTGATTACTTCAATATCAACCCTTATAAACAGGTTTATTGGGATACATTTTTACTAAAATTGTGTTTTTTTTTTTTGTTTTTTTTTTTTAAATCTGTTTTTGCAGGTGGTCATACCCAGAAGCCCTTTCCAGGCCAAGGGACTTCTTTTGTCATGCATAGAGGACAAAAATCCTTGTATATTTTTTGAACCTAAAATACTTTACAGAGCAGCAGGTAAAGGTTTTGTTTTATACTTGTGAATATATGCTTTGTTTTTCATAGCTTAAGAAATTTTAACTTTTTAATAGCTGGGTTTATATTTTTCATGTAGAAAAAATTCTGATTCATTTCTTCTGTTTAGTGTATCCATAGGTGTAAATTTTGTTTAGGGAAAATTCATCTAGCTATTTTATATTTTGGTTTTGGAAACAAAAAATGCACTGTGAAGTGGTAGCAAGAACAAAGGAGCTGTATGTGGGTGCTTAGTAAATGTGGATGGAATGAAAAAGCCCAAAAGTTATTATACAACATAGTATCTAAATTCCCCTTTGGCTAAAGTGACCATAAGTGTCTTCTAAGTTAGATTACTTCTAACCGTGAAGGAGGCACTGTTAGCAGGTATGCTGTGATATCAGGTCTACGCTGGGGTCACTGTCTACAGCAAACTGAGATGCAGTTCACCCTCCTGTTAGCTCAGAATCATAACTATAAACACATGTGTGACGACTAATTTCTTAGCTGTAATGGAAATTTCAAATATCAAATGATTTGTTCTGTCCAAAGTATATTTTGTTTGGAATTTAAGAAAATTATTCTGGCAAATCACTCTTTTCCTTGAAAAGTTAAATTTAAAACATGTTTTTATTTTGATGTAATTTATGTACAATGAAATGCACAGATATTAAGTGTTCAATTTGAAGGGTTTTTGACTGCCCTATACTTTCGAGTAATCACTATACAAAACAACATAATAGATTTTAATCATTCCTGTAAGTCCCTTCCCATTACTTCCTGCCAAATCCATTCTCCTTACTCCAAGCTCAGACTCTTCCTGATTGCTTTTAGGGATGTACATGTTTTTGGGCATTATAGAAATGGAATCATTTCTTGTGTGTTTGACTTCTTTTGTTCAAGCTAATGTTGGATTCATACATGTTGAATTGTACCACTGAGTTTATTCCCTTTTCATTGCTGAGTAGCAGTCCATTGTGTGAATATTCATTGCTTATTACCATTGCAATGAATATTGAACACAGTTGTACAGTATTAGAATGTTATTAGTAAGTATTAAACATTGCCATTTCATTGTATGAATAACCCTTTTTTATTGTTATTATATTACTTCTAAGAAATGGCAGTTATTTCCATTATTATTTCAAGTACTATCATTGTTACTACTAAGGAAACAAACTTGCCTCTTCTCTTATCACCAAGCTGATGGCCTGTAAATAGAACTAATATACTGTAACCAAATATCTGGAGTCTGCTTTGTCCATGAATTAATTGAGCAATGCTTCTTGGCTATGAGGAAAAGAACATCTGAACAACTGAGGCATATAAAATGTTTCTGAATAAGTCACAGTCCTTGGTATGACTCTTCATTGCATGCATGTATTACAGTTTATTCATGGGTCACACAGCCTCATTTTATCCATTCTCTGTTGATGAATAAATGTTCCTCATTGTTGTCTGTTTTTGAAAACTGACATTGTTTTACAAACTTCTGCAGTATTATTAAGGTAGAGATGTTTTCTCATGTCTGAAGCAGTATTCTGTACAAAATTCCAGAAACAAATGTTTTAAGGATTCTGGGTGCAGATTTCCTTAGGAGAATAAAATATTAGGCATCTAAAAAAGTTAACTTGTCAGCTCTAAGAACTTACCCATAATGTACACTTTCCACTGAAATCTGTAACATATATATTACTAAGTCCTGTTCAGAAACAATTCCATTACAGGGGCAAATTCAAGCCTTCGGCTTAGAGTTGTAGGGCATGACTCTCCCAATGATCTCAGCACCTCTTGGTCCTTCTTTTCCTGGAACCACATTTTCCCCATCTCCAGTGCTTGCACCTCACTCCGTGTGGTTCTGAGGAGGCTCCAGGTCATCATCTGACTTCCATGGTCTCAAGATGTAGCATGTGGCTCAAGCCCAACCATTCTGATTTCATTTCCGGGATTTTCTATGGGGAGACAGAGCCGCACTGTCTAGAGGGGGTTTGCCTGGGATGTTGGGAGACTGGGGCCCTGAATTACTTTTATTCCTTTAATCTTCATTTATGAATGATTTTCCCCTAGTTTCTTCCATTTAATCTCATTTTAAGTTAAACCTACTTTGAGTTTCAGTCTCCTATAGATTTTACTTGTATAGCAGGCAATTTTGATGATCGTAATACATAATCTTTTTTAGAGGAAAGATGCTTCTCTTTTCAAAGGAAAATATCCCCAATCAGATCAGCACAATGAACTACTACAGCCTTTCATAATTTAATATGGATGCTATTTATTTTTTTGTTCTAATAACTGAAGTAGAAACCTTCATCTTTTTTATTCAGTCTTATAAGGTTGCTGAGAGGATTAAGTGAGATAATCCATGTTGTATTTGCCTAGTTTTAAGACTTTTTAAATTTTTTTTTCATTACTAAGGATTAAACTCAGGGTCTCTCTACCTCTGATCTACAGCTGAGGCCCTTTTAATTTTATATTATTTTGAGACAAGATCTTGAGTCTGGCCTCGGACATTTGATCCTCCTGCCTCAGCTTCCCTAGTCTCTGGGATTTCAGACATATGCCTGGTTTTGAAGCACTTTCTGAACACTGAGGTGCTGGACATAGTGCTATATTGTGAAGACGTGAACTATTCAATTGAATTCTCACAATTACCTATCA